GAAATGTAGTTCTTTTTCCAAGAAGCTAATCTTCTCTCAAACTTTTCCAGAATTGGGGTCCAAAATCTACTCTCCTTTGGGTTAGCCCCTAGAGGGAGACCTAGATACTGCAAGGGCCAAGAAGAAATGGGACAACCTAAACAATCCGCCACAAACTACAAAGTCCTCTCATTCAGATTAACCCCTACCACACAACTCTTATCCAGGTTTATCTTCAAATTGGAGACATTCTCAAAGTGTTGTAACGATGCTTTGGGATTTCTCACTTCCCGCCTGTCACCCCCTTCACAAAAAATTATGAAATCATCGGAAAACTGCAGGTGGGTTACCCAGACATTGTTCCTTCCAATCCTCTAGCCTCTAACTTCCTCTTCCCTATCTGCTTTAGAGATTAATCTACTGAAGACATCTGCAACTAGGGTAAAAAGAAAAGGGGAGAGAGGGTCACCTTGTCTAAGGCCTCTACAAGCTGGGAAAAAGTCTTTCACCACCCCATTAACCAAAACGGAGTAATGGAAGGAACTAATACAGCCCTTTACCCAATTGCACCATCTAGCTCCAAACCCACAACACCCTAGGACCTCAAGTAAAAAACTCCAATCCACAAGATCATAAGCCTTCTCCAAATCTAGTTTACAAACGAAACCTTGGGTTCCTGACTTTCTCATGTCCTCCACGCACTCATTTACTATTAGGATCTGATCCATTATTTGCCTTCCCTACACGAAGGCACCTTGTTCTTGACTGATGATGGAGAGTAGTACTACTCGGATTCTCAATGACAACACTTTAGCCAGGATTTTATAGATGCTTGTCACTAGACTGATTGGCCTATAGTCCTTAGGGTTCTTTGCATCTGCCTTCTTTGGGATTAGAGCTAGGAAAGTAGCATTGACTCCAGAGTTCACCGTTTTTTTATCTGCAAATTCCTAAAACACCCCAACAAGGTCTTCTTTGACCACATCCTAACAATCCTGATAGAAAGCCATTGTAAAGCCATCTGGACCAGGTACTTTGGATCTATCCATTGAAAACACCTCATGTCTGATCTCTTTTTCACTAAAATCCCTTTCTAACCAGTTTGCCGGTTCTTCAGACAATCTAGTCCACTCCAAGTCTTCCAAGGTTGGCCTATTATTCAACGGTTTCCTATAGATTGATTTGAAATGATCCACAAAACATCTGGCTATCTCATCTTGATTTGTGAGTTGCTCCCCATTCACCTCTAACTTAGCCACAATTTTTTCTTCTCCTCCCATTAGCCAATGCATGGAAAAATTTAGTATTTCCATCGCCTTCCTTAATCCATTTATGTAGCAACTTTTGCCTTTTGAGATTTCCTCTATCAAAAGGACCTCTTCCAGGTCCTTCTTTAGATTTCCTCTCAAAACCTGTTCTTGCTCACTCATCATCCTTTGAGCTTCCTTGGAATCAAGTTCCTCAATCCTATACATCAAGTCAATTTTTTGCTCCTCTATCCTTCCAAAGTGCTCCCTATTCCACTCCTTAATTTTGGATCTCAACCTTTTCCATTTTTTGTGGAATCTTACTCCCTTCCAATTCACTCCTCTTAATTCTTCTCTCCACCATTCCCCAATCAAGTGCACAAAATCCGGATGAGTTAACCACATATTCTCAAATCTAAAAGGCCGAGGACTAGAACTTAGCTGGATAGGGCAGTGATCAGAGGTGACTCTGGGTAAGGCTCTAGCCATCAAGTTCGTCCAATGGTTCTCCCACTCTTCAGTAAAGAGGAATC